ACCGGGTACAAGTATCGGCTTGGTATTTGTAAGGTCTGGTAGAGACTCAACTTAAATGATGTGATGCGATCATAAGCCTTAATTAAGGCTTAAGCAAATTCCTGGATCCTGTTAAGCCTTAAGTTAAAGGCATATTAACCCTTAAGCCTTAAGGAGAACACTGGAGTTGCAATAATTACTCCGCGAAGACGATATTGGTGTATCTTGTGCCTCGGATACACCCACAATCGGGAGGGGAACTAAAAACAATCACTTCAGAATATTATTAATGTCTTCAGGTGGCTTCGAAGTACCGAGCCACCGGTGCTCGTGGTATGCCGCCCAAGCAGGCTGCAGTGTAAGCCCTGAATAAATACCATCCCATCCTCATTTGCTGCTCGAAAGAAAAAGGTGCTCACCACCACTACTCCCCATTTAAGCGGTGGGAGCGAGTTGCTCCACGAAGACAATGTCTGTTTACCTCCAAACCTACAAAAAAAGCAAAAGCTGGGACTTGTCATCAAGTTCAAACCGCCGGTCAAGTAAAAGGAAAAGACGCTCGTTCTCAAATCGGAATGTCTTCGGGTGGATTTGAACCTCCGGCAACTCTCCCGCTACTACGGCCGCTGTGCCGAAACAGGTGGGACTGAGTTCAGAGTAATTAATATTCACACTACTCCACGAAGACCATATTAACTTTACCTTGTACCTCAAATGCCCATAATATTGTTTCATGCTGGGAGGAGGAAAGGAAAAAAAGAAGCTGCCTTCCATCAATAGACATGTTTGCCAGTGCTTGGCCCACCTGTCTGACGTGACCCATCACGTGTACACGCCTCTTCTCTTTTCACCATGTCAAAACGCCCTGGGTCGCCTTCCTCCTCCTCTGGGACACTTATCAAGCGCGCGCGGGCAACGCCGCCGCCAGGATCCTCTACGCAGATCGCCATCTCGTCGGACGGGGACAAGAGCAAGGGTTTGATACGCAGCGTCCAGCGCACAAGCGGGCTCGACGCGCCCATCGTCAGTCTCGCAGGGGCGCATGGGGTTTGTCTCTTCCTCCTCTTTTTTTTTATTCTACTTATGACCAAAGTGTCTCAGGGCGAGATCCTCAGCTGCCGCTTCGACCCCCTGGGCCAAAACATTGCCGCCTGCTCCGCCGACCGCAGCATCTCCCTCTGGCGCACCTACGCGCCCAACGCCAACTATGGATTACTCGCTTCCCTCACGAAAGCGCCGATCCTCGACCTGCAGTGGTCGCTCGTCTCGCCGAGTCTTTATGCGGTGAGCGCCGACCGCATGCTGCTAGCGCTGGACACGACGACGGGGCAGCGGGTGCGCACCGTGCGTGCGGCACACCGCGAGGTCATCAACAGCGTCGCGCGCGTGCTCGCAGGGGCCGGCGAGCTCCTCGCGACCGCGTCCGACGACGGCTCCGTGCGCGTCTGGGACCCCCTCAACTCCAAGCACCCGCTATCCACATTTACACTGGGCGTCCCCGTCACGGGCGTCAGCTGGTCCGCGGACGGCGCGAGCGTGTACTGCGCCGCGCTCGACAACCTCGTGCATGTGTGGGATCTGCGTAAAGCGATGGAGCTGAGCACGCTGGCGGGACACAGCGACACGCCGACGTCGCTTGCCTTATCGCCGAACGGGGAGTTCCTGCTGAGCCCGAGCCTGAGCTCGCAGACACTCGTGCACGACGTGCGCCCGTTCTCGCCTGCGCCGAGCCGCGTGCACCGCACGCTGCTGGGCGCGCCTGCTGGCTTCGAGGGCACGCTGCTGCGGGGCGCGTGGTCACGGCACGACGGCGGGAAGCTCGCGGCCGTGGGCGGCGCAGACCGCATGGTGTGTGTGTGGGACGTGGAGAGCGCGCGGGTGGTGTATAAGCTGCCGGGGCATAAGGTGTGTTTTTGTGTCTACGTTGCTTCGGTTTCTACGTCCCTGTGTCCTTTCTCCTGCCGCTGCTCCACCTTCCTGCCTATCCTGCCTTTCTTACCGGTCTCGTGCTCCTCCTCCTCCTCCTCCTCCTCCTCCTCCTGCTCCTCCTACTCTTCCCGTCCCACCGCTCTTCCTCCCCCTCTCACCCAAATCCCACTACCCCTTCCTCCCACTTCTCTCCTACTCCTTTCTATCTAGAGCTGACGCCTCCTCAGGGAACCGTAACCGCCGTCGACTTCCACCCCACCGAGCCCATCATACTCACCGCGAGCAAGGACGGCACGATGCTGCTGGGCGAGCTGGACGCGGGGGCGTGAGGGCGTGAGGGTCGGGTCGGGTGGGCGTTGGGGAACGCGAAGGCGGGAGGCTGCGAACGTGGGGTGGGGGTTGGGGAGGGACGTGAGACCCGAGGTGGGCGGGGCAGAAAACGACGTGTACAGTAGAATACCATATCAAAAGCATCCTTCGCGCCCTCCCCGTTACTTTGTAGTGGCGCCGTTCCACCCATTCATTAATATTATTCTTCATTCATTCTCGTATCGTCCTCTTATCGTATCGTACAGCATCATCGACATCCTCGTATTGTAAGAGGTGTATGTATCGTACAATACGGTGGTATAGTACAGTGGGTGGGTAAGTTAATGAGTTGGCAGAGCGAGGCATGGCATAGCGAGGCGGCGTCCATAGCAGCGCCGTCAAGCAGTAGTAGCATAGCGGGGATATCGATCCGAGCACAGCGTACACATCCCTCTGCAAGACTGTGCACGGGGCGGGTGAGATGCAAGACTGTAAACATGGCTGCGGCGCGCGCGGGCCACCGACCCGCTAACCCAGCGGCTGGCGCGCCCTCATGCATTCGCTCGCAAGGAAGAGAGACACGCGGGCTCGCTCGCAGGGAAGAGACGCGAGTTGGACGACATGGGTGATAAGCAGCGATGCGACGCGGACGCGGGCTCGCTCGCAAGGAGGAGCCTGGCTTGCGGCGGGGAAACCGCACGCCCCACGCGCGCCGTAGCCAGACCGACAGCGCGAACGAATCGTGCCTTGACGTTGCGCGCTGGCGGCAGCACGGATGGCTGGGCATCCCACCAGCACCACGCGGAAGAGATAAGGGCACCACACGTTAGAGTAAGCGGAAGCGGAAGTGGAGGAGAAACAGCGAGACACGCAAGCTCGCGGCGGAGAGGACGACGACCGCGGGGGCGCGGATTCGCAGCACCTGTCCGCGATCGACTCGAATGGCGTGCGGGTGAGCGCCGCGGATGGCGTGCAGGCGAGGTGCCATCCCGCCAGCAAAGAGCAGGCGCTGGAGATACACAAAGCGCCTGCGAGGAGCGCTGGGTGGGGGCGAGACCGGCGGCGGGATGCGCGTAGGCGAATCCCACCGCCAGCACCACGCGCGCGAATCCCACCCGCACTAAGTACAAGCGCGCGGCGCGGAAGAGACACGCCTACTTCGGAAGACCGCGCACGGAGGGCTGGGCATCCCACCCGCACCACAGAGTAAGGGCACGACGCGGAGGAGTCCCGCCAGCACCACGCGGAAGATAGAGCAAGAGTAAGAGCACCGCGCGGAAGCACAAATGGCGGGATATATATACGCAACGAAGTACGCATTGCGCCAGCGCCTGCGAGAAGCAGGACCCGCCTAGGAGCGCAGCTCTCCGTGCTGGGGCCAGACCGACGGTGGCACGGATGGCTCAGGTGCGGGCGAGTCCCGCCAGTACCATGCGGATCGGCACGGATGGCGTGCAGGTGCATCCCGCCCGCACCACGCAGATGCGCAACAGGGTGGACCTGCCCCGGCGAAAAGCACGCGTTGCGCGCCAGCGCCTGCGAGGCGCGCGGGAGAGACACCCCCAAGAGAAGGTTCCCGCCTCAAAAGCTAGAGGACCATGCAGAGCGAGCGCGTGGAATACGAAGTACGAGATACGCGTTGCGCGGCACGCCTGAGAGAAGCGCAGAGGAGGCGGGGCGCAGACGAGACGGGGCCGGACCGACGGCGTCTGCGCGGGTCAGTGAAGCGCGGAAGAGGTGCGTGGAAGAGACGCGCACACGAGAAGCGTCCGCGCTGGGCCAGACCGACGACGGCGGCGTGGGCGTATCCCATCCGGCAAGCACTGGACACCGCGCGGAAGCGCAGACACCATTGCCACTGCCAGACGGGCAGCGTAGACACGTGACGAGTCGCGCCAAGGAGATGGGCCAAGCACAGGCAAACAAATGGGCGATTCAGGGGAGGTTGGATAAGTGAATTACGTGTCACCCGACGCTGCACATTACGAGGTCTGGGAACTTGGATTCGAACCACCGCCTGACTCTCGATTCCACCCGAATACATATGGTTTAGTGACTTTAGTCTCCTTCCCAGCCCAGAGCAATATTGTGAGTGTGGTGTATCCTGGGTACAGGTTAAGCTGATATCGTCTTCGTGGAGTAATACAACTCGCTCCCACCTGGTACATCAACATGATTTTCCTGCCACGGAAGAGCCGGTGGTTCGAATCCACCCGAAGACATGTCATGCTCCCAATGGAGTCTTTTTTTTTTTTCTCAACCAGTCTAAGCAGGTGGAGATGGAGTGAGTATTCAGGATTAAAGCTCGTCTTCGTGGAGTAAGGTAACTCAGTCCCACGGTTCAAGCTTGAAGCCACCCGCAAGGACATCGCAGCGAGGTTTAAATTCTTCCTCCCGGAATAAAATAAAATAATGGCCCCAGGTGGGGGTATCCTGGGTAAGGTTAAGCTGGTATCGTCTTCGTGCAGTAATATATAATACAAACTCACCCCCACATACTAGATGCGCTGAATTATTCCGCCACAGGAGAGTCGGTGGTTTGAATCAACCCGAAAACATTCAACTTCTTGGAGCAGTTTTTTCTTTGTTTGATCTGACCAGCAGATGATAGACTACAAGGTAAGCAGCTTTTTTTTCGTCTTTGTGGAGTGGTGTGCCTCAGTTCCATTTACACGGTTCGAATTGAATAGAACTTAGCCACTCGAAAATTTCCGCAAGCTTCTTTTCCTCCCAGCTCAAACCAAACTCGCGAGGTTATCAACGATTGAAGCAATGCTGATATCGTCCTCGTGGAGTAGTGTAACTCACTCCCACATTCTTGATAGAGCATATTGCCACGGGAGAGCCGGTGGTTCGAATCCACTCGAAGACATCAGGAGTTGATATCGCAGCTTTTTTTTTGAGCCTGACCGGCAGATGAGGATGTCGGGCCCTAAGACTCAAGGCGAGTAGATATCGTCTTCTTGGAGTAATGCAAGTCACTCCCACCCGCTACTATTGTTCCCTTTGGGTCTGGAACTGCCCTGACGACTTTCCTCATTTTTCCCGACGCCAACCTTTGCCCCCGGTATTCTCTGGGTTTAATTAGCGTATATCTAAACATGCAAAAGAACTAAGTGATTTGGTGATGGGGGTGCGTTGATGAGAGGTAATACAGAATATTACCGAAAACCTCCGTGGCCGCTGAGTCCGAAGCTCTGGAAAATTTCAAGCATATTCCTAAAGAGTAGAAAAAGGATTCTCTCTCTTCAGAACCTCTTTCCGGGACGATTTGCCTATGACCTGGGCGAGAGAACCACAATGTCACTCATGTCACAGCCTTGACGAGCTTGACATGTCACGCTTTTTACACCTAGGACAGCTTTTTTGTTTTTTTCTGGGGAACGTTTGAAGTGGTCTAGGAGAGCATTTGGATCGGCGGGGCTGGAGACATACCGCCTATTGCCGCGTACGTCCACTGAGTCGTGAGAAAAGTGGCGGGCTTCCGACGATGAAACTCCGCCCGGTTTCGAGACGAATGATACTAAGGATAACTGGACTGCATCTCATCAATCGGCGCCCATACAGCTATTTCTCGAGACTTCCCAGGTCTGCTGTTACTCCGCAGTCCCGGATATCCTCAAACTCCGACTATCAGAAATTCTACTCCCCGTCGGAGAGTCCTAAAATCACCGCACAATAGTACTATATATAAGAAACCGCAGCAATACACCGCCCGAATAATGCGTTCGTTCTTAGCAGCCATTTTCCTCGCCATTTTGGCCCGTACCAATGCTACCCTTCATTTCCCGTCGCGGCAACATCAAACACGCCGTACAACTCCTCACATCCCCGAGCGCCGTGCCACAGGATCCCAATATCTGAATAACCAAACCGCGAGTGAGTTTCTCGTCTCACTCACTGTCCGCGGCTTCACTCAACCACGCCATAGAATTTGTCGTCAATGGCACGAACATCCCATCGTACGCACACGATCTGGGTGAATCCTACGCAGGTCTGCTCCCCATCCCGCAGGAATACCGCGTCGATCCGAACGGCACCGACTCACGCGAGCTCTTCTTTTGGTTCTTCCCTTCTAACAACCCCGCCGCTGAGAAAGAAATTACGATTTGGCTTACCGGCGGCCCAGGCTGCTCCTCCCTCGTCGCGGTGCTATCGGAGAACGGTCCTTTAACCTGGGCCCCGGGAAATGCGGCGCCGTTCCCCAACCCGTGGTCATGGAATAAACTCACGAACATTGTGTACGTTGAGCAACCTGTGGGGGTGGGCTTCACACAGGGCACGCCGGGGCTCCTGACAAGCGAGGTTGAAATTGCGAAAGAGTTTCTGGGGTTTTGGAAGAATTTTGTGGAGGTGTTTGGATTGGAAGGGCGGAGGATTTTGGTTGCGGGTGAGTCGTATGCTGGGTATTATATCCCGTACATCGCAGACGCGATGCTCGAGGCGCACGATACGCGATACTTCAATGTCGAGGGGGCGTTCATGATCGATCCGTTAATTGGGGATAGAAATGGGGGACAGCAGGGTAAGCTTCGATTTTCACTTGGTGATAGATAATCAACTCACTCGTGGTCTAGTCCCCACCCGCGCAATGACCCGTCACTTCCCTCATCTCTTCCCATTCAATGATACCTTTGAGGCCGAGCTTGCTGCTCTCGACCAGAAATGCGGCTTCACGTCCTTCCTCGACGAATATCTCGTCTTCCCACCGAAAGGCATCCAGCCTAGCGCCCCCAGCACCGCGGATAACTGCTCGATGTTCAACGCCCTGCTCGACGGAATGGCGTTCCTCAACCCGTGCTTCAGCACGTACCACATTACCGAGACGTGTCCGTTCGTCGAGGACCCCATACTCAATTCCCCTGATGGGGTACAGTATTTCGATCGTCCTGAGGTAAAGAAGGCGATTAACGCCCCCGCGACGGAGTGGACGATTTGTCAAATGGGTGTTTTGGCGGACAACGTGGATGAGGCACCGCCGCCGGCATTTGGAGTCCTCCCCAGAGTTATTGAAAGATTGAACAAGACGCTGATTGTGAGCGGGCAGCTGGACCTCATACTGCCGACCAACGGGACGCTGTGAGTTTACTTACTCTCTCTGCTGCTTTCCAAAGTGAATTAATTTCGGGGCACGCAGCCTAGCAATTCAAAACATGACCTGGAACAATGCACTAGGATTTCACCACACCCCATTCGATAAACCGTTCTTCGTGCCCTACCTCGCGGCAGCAACCATCGGCGACTCGCAGGGCAACCTGTGGCCACTCACGGGCACAGGGCTGATGGGGACGCTGCATGAAGAGCGCGGGCTGACGTTTGTGGAAGTGTTTTTGGCGGGGCACCAGGGGCCGCAATTCCAGCCGGCGGCAGCGTTCCGTCAGCTTGAATGGATGCTTGGACGCGTGGAGAGTATGAGCGGCATGGAGGATTGGACTGTTAGCATTGATTGAAATTGAGGCTGAAGGAGGGGCTTCCTTGGGTTTGTGATCACTGAAACAGAAGAAACAGAAACGATGACTTCGGAAATTATTGACGTACAATTCATGTAGTATCAGTATATCAACGAGTGGCGGGTACCTCAAGTTCTTCCCTCGACAACGAAACGGACTCCCCCTCATCATAATAAGTTACTGTACCATTACGACCGAGTGTTCAGTCACTATGTCACTGCCCTACCTGAACTGAACACTTGCTAATTGGGTCACAGGTCACTGGCATTTTGAATCGCACTTTTGGCTGAAAACGGGGAGAAATAGGCCGGAAAATGCTGAAAAATCGCCCAGAATGGTAAATTCCCAGGAAATGAACAATTCTTCTGAATGCCAACACAGGTTTATGATACTTAGGTTCGGAACAAGCCTCTCTCCGGACTGGATATCCAGTCTATCTTGGAGAGAGGCTTGGGACAACGTGAGATGAACAGAGGGGATCTTCGAGCTCAGTTTGACATATAACTGAATGCTTTTCGGCAAAAATCTCCTTCAGCCATTGATACAAGAGCATATTAGATATTCTAGAAGGATTCAAAAAATATTTTGAACCCTGGCACTTGTGGTCTGCGGGCTTTTTGGGCCATCAGTTGTCAGGGAAGTTGAGTTAAGATTGTGTTGAGGTGGTACTTTTTTGTTATAATATAAGCATTAATAAAGGTGTCCCTTGACTTTAATTTTTTTTGGTGTCCCAAACTCTCTTCCATTCGACGTTTTACGCTTCGGAGATATGGTCACACATGTGACAAAATGTCACTGCGTGACTTGGGATCTCCTTTGATCCCGCCCATCAATTTTAGCAGGTTTCACACTACGCTCTGAAATCGGCACAGAATATTAAAATTACTTTTTAAACAGCCTTCTGAAATGAATCTGAAGTATTCCTACTCTAAGAATTCTTTTCCCCGGGCCTTATAACTGTAGAAACAGTTGATTTAGATAATTCCGCAATTGTTCGAAAGCACACCTTGAGCGCTTCGGAAGTTGATGATTTCCTCTCAGAATATTATTCTAAATAACTGTAAGTTTAAGTTTGCTTCCTATGAATAACTTTCTCTCATATATACCCTTGTTTTTCACACGAAGTAAAAACACAAGACGTGATGAACATCCCCCCGATTTCCCCATCTTGGCACAAGCCCCTTCATTTATTTTGCTATCAAACAATGCCCATATCACAGAACAATGAATGAATGGCTTGATCCGAACCTAGGTTTATGATTGGATCAAGTGGATAATTCTATTGAGAAACCCCGGTTGCTGACAGAAACCCCCCAATAAAAAGTTTAGTCTGCGCAGAAACCCCGGTTTCCGACTTCACCGGTTGCCGGAGGTGGTTGTATTTGGCTAAGACCTCTCACCACAACAACTTGTGTGTCGGCGCCAGGCGGGACATACTCTTTTCTTCCAACTCTGGCGTGTCATATCTCAATGAACCTGGCAGGAAACCACTGACTTCAGTTCTACCACTACTACTACGGGGCTGCAGCGCCCGACAACACAAGTGGACAAGTGGCCCGATTGTGGCCGTTCTGATGGCAGATACCACACCGACACGAGCCTTTCTTACGTGGGGGTCCTGAATCTGAGTCGTTCTCTTCGTTCTCCCTATGCCTCTTCTTCGACCTTGCCCCTCCTCCAACCGGTCTGCCCTCTAGAGCCCCCGTCAGACGCACTGTTCGTGGGCGTCCCTTGTGATTGATGATGGGGGGATCATGAACACTATCTCGGTACCTCCGCTCATTATTCTGTTGGCTACAATGCTGTTAATCGTTGGATCAAATGGGAATGAAGTTCTTACTGAAAGCTATCGAGGTTCTGAATGAAATCAGACACTTGCTCTCTTGTTTGGATGTGGCTCATCAATGGCCGAATGGCGGCTTGTATCTCGTGGAAAACTTCGCGTGCAGGAAGGGTTTCGGTTCCGGAAAGGTCGCCAACAGTGCTCGCATTACTGCCACTCTTGTTGTGCACTTGCTGACTTGACGGGATGGGTGTGACATTGACGCGCATGTTCTCGGGCCTGACGGTGTTGGCAGTAGTGACAGCAGGAATACTTCGCAGATCGGTGTTCGGATCCTGTAGCCATCTATGAAGAGTATTAGACCATTTTTAATGCTGAGACCATCTACTCACCGTGCGCGAATGAAGCTAAGATGGAATTCGAGGTCCCGAATGTTAACCCATCCTGAGAAGAAGTGGCGACAAACAAGGCCGAGGTTTCGTTCCATGCAGCAATCACACACGTATCGCCCATCCCGGAGGAGAGCAACATAATGTGCGCACCCAGTAGCTCGATGAATGACCCGGATGAGTTGTCTCACCTGCAAGCCTTTCTGTCTAACGAGCTGGATGAGCCATTTGCATGAGATGTAAGCACGAT